ACGCATCCCATACGACGAAGAGGGTTATAATTACGTTTATGAAGACGAGCATGACATGGAGCATCACATAACTCCGAAGCTCGCGAACCTAGCCAAAACTAAGAAGGAAGTCAACAAATGGTACCTGGACAGCTGCTGCGGACAACACATGGTCTCGTCGAGCATATTGATCCTCAATAGTGAAGAGCTCTTCAACAAGGTCGAAATCACCGTCGCGAACAGTCAGACGATCTAGGCCAAGAGCCGCGGACAGATCCACCTGGAATCCAACGACAAGGGGTACTGCATCCACATCAGCGACGTCCTCATTGTGCCCGAGCTCTAATACAATCTCCTGTCGTTTGACTAGCTGATGAAGTGCGGTGTCGAGCTGCACACGACAGAGAACGAGCTTCACTTAATATACAAAGGGAACTTCATCGGAAAGACGACAAGCGAGAACGGAGTATTCGTACTTGACTTCATGTGACCCAAGACCTCTAGGGACAACCAACACATCATCGTTCTTGATCCACCTGGCCACCAGTCGCCACCAACTTGGAGCCACCCGGAAGAGACCGATTACCAACGACCCGGCCTCGATGGAACCTTCCGTGCTCTTGCCGTACCCGTCACCTCAACCTCAAACCCTGCGGACACAGGACCACCAGCAGTGGAGGAAGGAGAAGAAATCACTTCGGAAACAGCAAACACGGAAGTCAGAGGATGGGCACGAGCAATCTGGCCCCGCATTCAACAACCTACCGGCTGGAACACAACTGAAGTTTGGGACGCAGTAGACGTCTGCTGGGTCATGGAGAACACCGCGTTGGGAGAAGCTGCCGCAGCTGAAACCAGATGGGGAAACGTCGCCGAAGGACCTGCATCAGAAGAAGAAGCAGAAGCAGCAGAGGAACCATACGTCACTGAGGAGGCACCGGAAGCAGAAGAAGAAGAAGAATCATTAACGGAATACGGACCTCACCTCATCCCCATTACAACAGACGGCAAGGACTACCTCCGCATCGAGACAAGGGGAGCGGCGACACCGACTTCAAGGAAGGAGACGTCACGCAGCCGGAGGATCGTCGTCCACGAGTCACACCGACACCTCCTGAAGGACCGCTGAAGCTTCCCATGACAATCGACACCTCCACCATCGGCGACACCAGCGGAGCATATCACGGTGCAACGCTCCAGGAAGCAGTAGTCCACGTCGCCGTACCCGACGAACCTGCGGATCAAGTGGGAAAAGAGACCGCAGAAAGAATCTTAGCACGAGAGAAAGAGCTTTACGCGTGTACGAGAGGATATCGCGCCGACCCCGACATCTGGCACCAACGATCCGGGCACCCATTTATTGAAGTGCTCAACAACTGCATCAACGATGACGTCTTTGCGGCAGACGTAGTGTTGCTGCCAGATGGAAAGCTACTCAAACCATGAACTGGCTTACCCAATTGCACCGTCTGCCCGACAGCCGCGATGCGTCAAACGCCCTTCACCGAGAAGATACCTGGAGCCGAACGTTACAAGCTGCTCGAAAGGTCTACAACGACTTCCTGGTACTCACGGCAAAAGGGGTAGGAGGAGAGCAGTATACGCTCACCTTCATCGACGCCGGCACATGCTTTGTCTGGGCTGTGAATGTCAGCAATCGCTACCTCGCCTACCACTGCTTCGAAATCTGGCTTAGCACGACGGAGACCCAGAGCGAAGGGAAGAAACTGAAGGCGTTTCAAACGGACGGAGCTCTGGAGTATCAGACAGAGGAGTTCAAAACCCTCTGCAGACAGAAAGGGATCCAGAGGATGATCTCTCTTCCCTACGCACACGAGCAACAGGGATTGGCGTAGCGAACCACCAGGAGACTCGCGACAAAAATGCGAGCCCTCATGAAGCAGTCAGCTGTGCCAACCAAATATTGGCCCTTCGCGATGGCGCATGCAGTTCGACTGCACGACATGCTTTCTTAAAAAGAGATGCCCAACAACACCTCACATTTGAAGGAATGGACCGGCAAACACCCCGACACACGCATGCTGTGGGTCTTTGGGTGCATGGTACAGTACCGCCCCCACACTGCCCGTACCTGCCCCACACTGCCCGTACCTGAAAATTTGAAGATCGCGCTCGGTGGGGCATTCACCTCGGAATCGAATCCGAATACCACGCCTGGACAATTCTGGACTTCGCCACCCACCAGCTCACATGTTCACATGACTGCGAAAGGGTGACCCTACCACTGTACCGCCAGCACCGCACTGTACAAAACGTACCGACAGCACAGCTACGCCAGTGACGAGGATGATGTCAACGTGGCAGGAGAACAGCCAGACGAGGCAACAGGGGGTGAGGCACCCTTCGTACCCGTTACGGAGGTGTTCGACACAACAACATTTTTCCCAACGGAAACCGGTCAACACGAAGCAGTACAAGCACAGCACGACTACGCAAGTGCAGAAATGAACTCACCAATGGAGGAAGATCCTGCTCGCGATTCTTCTCGCGACACCGTTCGCGACATCCCTGGCGATGACGACGATGTGGTCGAAGTAACAAATGCGGCCGAATCCAATCTCTCAGGATTTCGCATCCTCGGACTCGCCGTCACCATACGCGGTAACCAGCAACTAGTTAAGCCCACTACCGTTTTCCAGGCTCTCAACGGACCTGATGCCGAAAAATGGAGAGCAGCCATGGCCGCAGAAGTCGCTGCACTCCAACGACGCGGCACCTGGAAGCTAGTACCACGACGGCACGCAAAGGGGAGGGAAATCCTCACAAGAAAATGGGTTTTCATGATCAAAACACTCGCGGACGGGACTATTGACAAATACAAGGCGCGGTGGGTCGTTCGTGGCTTCGAACAAACCCAATTCGCACCTGTCGGACGTCACACCTCTGTCAGCATCCTCCTCTGTGTCGAAGCCGTGAAACAACGTCCCATGCGCAAGATCGACGTGTCGAACGCGTTCCTCTACGCAATCGTCGATGCAATCATCTACGTCGAGCAGCCGCGTGCTTTCGAGGAAGGCGGCGATGCCATCTGCCTTCTAGAGAAGTCCCTGTACGGGATCAAGCAGGCGCCACGCCTGTGGCAGCAGTACCTCCACACCGTGCTCATCAAGCTCGGATTCTAGCAGCTTCCCCACGATCAGGGGATGTACCGTCTTGAGTCCCGCAGCAGTTTCATCTTGCTCGTCGCCTACGTCGACGACTTACTCTACACCGGGGACAACACGGAGCTGCTCGATCGCTTCGAACACAACATCAAAGAGAAGCTCGAGGTGACCATCGATCACGATGTCATTCAATTCCTCGACCTCAACGTCACTCAGACCGCCGACACGATCCACCTCTCTGTCGCGAAATACGCCGAGACCCTCGCTAAGAAGTTCGGCATCGCTCCCGTCGGCATCACCACCCCATTTCGCATTCCTCCGCCTAATCACAAGCCCGACACCACCCCGCTCTCTCCGGCCGACCATCGCCTCTATCAGCACCAGCTCGGGTGTCTACTCTTCGCCGCCGTCACATGCCGCCCGGACCTGTCCTACATCGCCAGCCAGCTTGCCCAGTATCTGCGCCGACCTGAAGGGGAGAATATGGCGGACCTGCGACGCGCCCTACAGTACTTCGTCTCTACGCCCGACCTCGGCCTTACCTACAAGGCGAACCTAACGGCTACTCTACAGCTTACCGGCTACGTATATGCTGATCACGCTGGGGATGCAGACAACAGAAGGTCCAGCACAGGCTTCATTTACAAACTTGAGCATGCAGGAACCATCTCCTGGAACTCACAGAAGTAGGAACTCATCGCCCTTTTGTCAGCTGAAGCAGAACTCATCGCAGCCAGTGCAGCAGTTCGCGAAGGACTCTACCTCACGGAGCTCCTACAGGAAACGAAGACGGAGATGAACGGGTCATTCAAGATACTCCGCGACAACCAGAGCGCGATCAAGATCGCAAACAAGCCCGGCTTCGTCAACCGCACAAAACTCATCGCCCTGCGTTACTTCTTCGTCAAGGACGAAATCGACAAAGGGAAGGTCTAGCTCATCTATTGCCCAACTGGCGAAATGGCAGCTGACTTCTTGACGAAGAAATTGCCACGTCAGAAGTTCCAGCACTGCTCGGACCTGTGCGGAGTCGTTCGAAAGAGCCACGTGGCGCACCTCCAGGAATGAAGGGGGGTGTTGGAGTATGAAGGGAATCGATAGCATTCCCGTAGGTGCAGCTATATCGCACCCGTCGCTATCGAAGCGGCACTCCAAGCAGTATCGGATGAGCATGTAACAAGGGTAGGAAGGTCAACAGTTGCAAAGATCAACTGTTGCGACTGTTGACCATCTGGACCAATTGACTCACCAGCGAGGAATGGCAACATGCGTAATCGTCTGTACGGTTACATGCAGCGACTCGGTAGTCAGGGTCACTGTAGAACTGCCTGTAAAACGGTTAGAATAAGGGAATGTACCCCTTAGAGTACATGGCTGGCTAGGTCTATTTATTGTGTGAATTTTATCCTTTTAATCAATATTTTCATTTACATCCACTATGCACAAGGTTCCTACCACAAGTCTTCCGCTACCAAAACTCTCTAAGACAATCATATCCTATCCAAGATCCTCACTCTAGCAAGGTGGGAAGGTGCCGCACTAGGAACGCGCTAGGAGGGACCATGTTAAGGGGCATGACGGAATAGCTAGGGCGGATGGGGCGGAAGCGCGGATATGAAGCCAACTCGTAATACGGTACTATGATGAAATATTTTAGGGGTGAAATTGCACAATACAAAGCAAGATATGTAGTTCCATAAATTCAGGTTCCGTTCAGTTTCATTTTAATGTATGTGATCCTCAGTCGTTAGAGGATCTTGCGACGAAATTCAAGCAAAGAAAGCCACGTGGCAATCTAGTTGGGATAAGTAGTTGGGCGAAAGCTCACATGAAAACTTCAATTGGCCAATCGGTTGCGAGGAGACTGACACAATAACGGGAGCTGCCGGCTGGCTGATGGGTGTTCCAAGTTCCGAAGTTCCAGCCTTTGTCCAAAGGTGTTGACGACCGCGCACGTAGTTGGCGCCTTATCGCCTGCGACATAGGGCTGCGACGGAGCGGATCATGCAAAAGTGCGGCGAGGGCTTTCACCCGTATCAGGCAAGGCAGATTTACAGGGAGAAGCGGCGGAACCAGCCACACTTCCAGTGGAGCACTTTTGGCGTGGGTGAGGTCCTCACACTCCAGTCTTCGAGATCTAGTAGCAGTGCCCGTACAGTACTGTACTGTACCACTGTCGAACCGCTGGCGTATTGTAACCAGATAGCTGGCGCAGCGGCTATCATGTTGCAATTGCGATCCCACCACCATCTTACAAACGGCTTGTCCCGTTACCATACCTGTCCGCCACGGCGTGGCGCGATGGTACGAGCCCGTCGAACAAAGGCTCTCGTACCGTCCGCACCGCAGCTGTTTGTCGGTTGAATCGCCGCTACTAGCAGTAATGGTACGGCCGGGCGGGGGTTTGCGTCTATGCCTGGACTTCCGCCTCTAGTTCAGTTCAGACGTTTTACCGTACTGTCGCTCCCTGGGAGCCTGGCAATTCATACAGTCCAGTCCAGACTGCACAGCCCGTCGTAGCCTCTGACGTGCCGTTTTGCTTGCCAGCCATCCCTCAATCTCACGATCAGTTTGAGTCGCCGCAGCATACGGCACGGCATGAAGCTCTTACCACCGATCGCCGCCGCGGCGCTTCTCCTCGTCGCTGTGGCGGTAGCGGCGCGCGTGCCGGCGGCGCGTGCGGCGGGGTGGGTGGAGCTGGACCTCAAGCAGACAGGCGTGGCCAGTGACGCGGCGCTCGCGCAGACAGCAGCGGGAATCGCGGTGGAGCAGTACAACGCGCAGACGGTGAGTCGCTCGTATCAGTGATCCGCCGAGTCGCGGCGGCTTTCGAAGCAGAGATACATGGGTTTACGGGCTCGTTTCCAGCAGCAAGTGCTGGCTCAGGCAGGCGATTTTTCTTTGCGGTGGAGCAGTACAACGCGCAGACGGTGAGTCGCGAGTATTAGGGCGTGTGTGGTCTTCGAAATCTGTAAAAGTTTACGTTTTTAGGGCGATTTTTGCGAAACGAACTTATGTCGAACGAAATTCGACTTCCCTTGTATCGAAGTTCGAACATCAGGTCTACAACACAGTAAAAAATCACACACACATACAATGTCGAACCCCGACATTCGAACTTGAAAAAAACGCGCCGAGCCGCACGTGTAACAACCACGGCCCTTATAACAACGGGCAACCGTGTGTTAAATATAAATCCTCCTTGACAATATATATATAAAATCAAGATACAAGGCTTCCAAGATCAAACTAATCCCACCAAGGGATAACCTAGCCTTGATAATATCCTTGAAGCTTGAGATGAGAAAAAGAGCTTGACGAATGTTGATGAAGCTTTAACAAGTAGGTAGGTAGCTTCTTGTAGAGCTTGTCCTTGAAGTAAACACAATTCTAGTTGTGTAGGAGAGCTTGTTAGAGAGAACCAAGACTTAGAGTGAAAATCCCATTTCCAAGTTGGTAAGTTGGAGTTGGGAAGTGGGAATGAGCTTCAAAGCTTCGACCCCTTCCACAATACCCCTTGGGGCTCTTCCCAACCATGGCTTCCATGGTTGGGGAGCTTCTAGGCTTGGAGCCTATGTGGCATCTTTGTTTGTTTGAACCCAACTTAATTGTGTTGTATGGTTGTTTTGTTGTCTGGTTGGATTGTAACAACAACTGGCACAATGTGATTGGTTGGAAATCCAACCTTCCCAATCTTCACTTTTATGGGTTGGAAGTTTCCAAGCCTCAAGGTTGAGGTTTGGAACAACCCAACCAACCTTCCCCTCCAACTCAACCTTCCCGATTCCCATCGAGTCATTTCTCATCGAGCACTCTCTCGATGTTGACTTAGGAAGCTAGCGGTAGATTAGGTAGAGTAGGTCATGCGTTACAGCACGTCTACAGTGTAAGGAATTTTCCTTATTCCTTACTGAGGCACCTTATGCGCGTACAACTCCAACTTTCGGAGTTCAGGCTCGGTCCGACGACCTCGCCTCCCGAACGTCCCTCGCGTCGCCTTCGGGGTTCCCAACCCCAAACCTGCACCCGACCTTGCACGGTCCTACGACCTCGGCCTAGCTAGCTCTTGCTATATTATCCCTAGGCCTCATTATTTGCTCAGACGTTGTATTCACTTCCGCGATATTGCATTCTGCGCTACTCTTCTTCTTACAACTCATAACATACAGTATAGGTTACCCGGTTCGTTACAATATAGGTTACCCGCACGAATCAGGCCACGAGGCTACCACTCATTGCACCGAATCGTGGAGTAGCTTCGTTGTGCCATTTCAGCCATTGGAAGCCGTCGCCCGTTTCGCCTGCGTTTCGTACGTGCTACAAATCACACACGCTCGAATGAACGTTCGCACGCACGTTCACGACTCCAACTCGAGTCAAATTCAGATTTCGAACTCGATTTTTTACGTGCCCCATAATATACTGATTTCGCCAATTTGTTTCTGCGAAATTGGCGAAACGGGTAACCACCTAAAGTTCGAACTTTTTCTCGAACTTTCAGACAGATCACACACGCCCTTACTACCTGATTTCCGCCCGCAAAGCTTATTGAGGGCGGATGCGGAATCATGCCGGGGTCGCGGCTCGGGCAATTGCCGAAGAGTATTTCGCGTTGCTTCAAGAGGCGAGGCTCATACAGTTGACGCAGAGTTTCCCCTTCAAAGAGCCTCTCTTGCGACCGCGTCCCGCACACGATAATTGAAGGACCACCCGGCGCAGTATGCAATTTCACACTCGCTAGGCCCTAGTTCTTGCAATTTTGCACTCGCTAGGCCCTTGTTCTTGCAATTTTGCACTCGCTAGGCCCTTGTTCTTGGAATCTTGCACTCGCGTGTCACAGCGTGTTTCCCTGACTGCTGCTGGTGTACTGTCATGTCATGGTGTTTCCCCAATTCCCACCAGCGGCGTTGAGTTGACAGAACCACCCACTGATCTTGGATCCATGTACCTATCATTCAGCCTTGTCCTGCATTCCAGCAGCCGCAGCAGCAGTGGTGGCAGTGGCAGAACCGATGCCCAAGCCCTGATCCCGCCTCCTCCTTTCTCTCCATATCCCCTGCTCCTCCCCTCCCCCTCCCTCTCCCCCTCTCATCCCCCCTCCCATTCCCCCTCTCCCTCTCCCTTCCTCTCCCTCTCTCTATCCCCCTCTCCTTCCCCTCCCTTTCTCCTCGTTCTCTGCTGAAATCCGCCCTCTCCTTCGTTGTGGTTCAGTCCGCGGAGGTCGTTGTGCCCGCCGATGTCGGGCGGAGAGCCGTCATCCGCGTTACCTTCACTGCCCGCGAGCAGGAGAGCACAATAAGGAGGCTGTTGAGGGAACACAAGGGCGCACTGCGAAAGCTCCTTGGCAGCCAAACACCCATCCATCCACCAAACCCTCCCTCCCTTCCTGCCCTGCTCTCCCCTTGTTCTCTGCAGAAATCTGCCCTGTCGCTCGCGGCAGTCGAGTCTGCGGAGGTATTTGTGCCCGCTGACGTGGGGCGGAGAGCCGTCATCCGCGTGGCCTTCACTGCCGGCGAGGAGCAGGGCGTGTTGAGGAGACTGCTGCGCGGCCCTGGCAGCACAGTTGCGGTGCAGGCGGAGATTGCGGGAACTTCGCACGAACTACACCATTATAAGCTGGAGCGATTTGTTACAACTGGATGAAGTGTAATAGGCGGACATAATTGTTTGTGTCCTTACTGGAGAGAGTTTATATTTCTGGGCATCACCGTGCCAGTTGTGATGGCATCCTGGTTGAGTGGGTGCTGCTAACACGCTACGGTAACAGTGACTGGCCGAGCTCTTTTAGGCAAGTGAAAGGCTTCTATTACGGTGCTGTTGCATGTAGCTTCTGAGTGCATGGGGGTGCATGGAGTGTGCAGGTGCTTGTGAATCAGAAATGGCAATCTCAGTGTGCTCTTGCACTGCATGCATGCTAGCTTCTGCATGGCCCCACCCTATCCATGAATGCAAGTGGTTTCAAATCAGAGCCAATATTTCACCTCAGGAGGAGCACAGCATTGACTGCCAGATGCTAGCTACCCTGAGGTTTCTTTGCCCGAATGTATCCTCGGATTACTTTGCCCAATACTAGGTACACTCGCCCCAACTGCTCTGCTTCCTTAGGCATCCTCCTCATGCTGAGAGGTATGGCCGCGTGACACCACACCATCCTCCCCCTCCTTCCACAGTACCTCCCAACAACTTCATCCAAAAACCCATTACGGTACGTCACCCATACTGCCCATTGACCAATCCTAACGACTGACCTCCTCCACCACCACCGCTCTATTCCATCTACCAGCCAAACCCTTGGTTCACGGCACCTCAAGAAGATCTGCATTGCACTACAGCAGCCTCTCTTCCAGAACCCTAACACATCAGCCATCCTGCCCCAATCCTCTAAACCACTCTCCACCACTCCAATCCATCCAGCAAAACCCTTGGTTTATGGCACCTCAAAAAGAGCAGCAGAAACCTCTTCTCCTCAAACACGACCCATTCCACTTTCCACCATGCATGCCATCATGCCATGTGGTACGGCACCTTGCATCGGATCAGGCATGACATCGCCCATCCCACCTAGTCATCCTCATCTGCGGCACCTGGCATGGCACCTGCAGCACAGCACCCCCCAGCCATCCCCTCTACTCATCCTCATCGCTCTCCACCACTCTCTTCCGCCGCCACGCTGCCGCCTTCTTGCTCTCCTCCCTCTCCTCCGCCCAATCCTCCTCATCCCCCCCTTGCTCCTCCTCACCTCCCCGCCCCCTATCCCCCCCTCTCCAGCCGTACCCCTCATCTTCAGACTCCTCCAATCTCTTGCCCCTGCCCCCCCGGCCCTCATCATACCCCCCTCGGCCCCTCTCCCCGTCTGAGTCCTCCTCATCGCTGTATTGCCCTCCTCTGCCTGAGGTCTTAGCAGCCTTGGCAGGACGATGGTCGTGTGAGGGGGAGCGCTGGTGGGGAGGCAGGAAGAAAGAGGGGGTGGGGGGTGGGGAGAGGAGGGGGGCTGAGGACTTGGAGGGGCTGTAGCGCCCTCCTCTGCCTGAGGTATTGGCAGCCTTGGCAGGGCGATGGTCGTGTGAGGGGGAGCGCTGGCACGATGAAGAAGGCAAGGGGAGTGGGGAAAGGAAGGGGGTGAGGAGTGCAAAAGATTGCATGGTAGAGACGGCTTGTGCCATTCATGAGTCCTCCTCATCGCTGTACCGCCCTCCTCTGCCTGAGGTCTTTGCAGCCTTGGCGGGGCGATGGTCGTGTGAGGGGGAGCGCTGGTGGGGGAAGGGGAGGGCGCAGGCAGGATGAAAGAGGCAAGGGGAGTGGCGAAAGGAAGGGGGGTGAGGTGCGCAGAAGAGTGCAGGGTATAGCTCCACAGGCCTTGGTAGGGATCGTGCCGTTTTCCCCCTACCCCCCTCGCCCCCTCTCTCCTTGAGAGTCCTCCTCATCACTGTACCGCCCTCCTCTGCCTGAGGTCGTTGCAGCCTTGGCAGGGCGATGGTCGTGTGAGGGGGAGCGCTGGTGGGGGAGGGGGAGGGCGCAGGCGGGATGAAAGAGGCAAGGGGAGTGGCGAAAGGAATGGGGGTGAGGGGCGAAAAAGAGTGCAGGGTATAGCCCTACAGGCCTTGGCAGGATTTGTGCCGTTTTCCCCCTACCCCCCTCGGCCCCTCTCCCCTTGAGAGTCCTCCTCATCACTGTACTGCCCTCCTCTGCCTGAGGTCTTTGCAGCCTTGGCAGGGCGATGGTCGTGCGAGGGGGAGCGCTGGTGGGGGGGGGCAGGATGAAAGAGGGGGTGGGCTCAAAAGTCGCGTGAGGAAAACACGCGCACTCCAAAGGCCGCATTAGGTACATATTGCAGGGAGGAGTCAAGGGGTTGGGCAGCAGGGAGGAGTAAAGGGGTTGGGCAGCAGGGAGGAGTAAAGGGGTTGGGCAGCAGGGTGAGAGAATGAGGTGACTTTTGAGTCGACGCAAAAGTCACCTCATTAGGTACAGACTGCAGGGAAGAGTCAAGTCAAGGGGTTGGGCAGTAGGGTGAGGGAATGAGATTGAGACAATGTGATGAGGGGACGATGAGGTGAGAAGAAAAGAAAGGTTAATTCAAGCACTCACCCTCTTCCCTTGTCGCCGATCGTATCTGTCCTCCTCTTCCTCGTCTTCCTCCTCATATTCGTCCTCTTCCTTCTCTTCCTCCTCGCTCTCGTATTCGTTCCGCCGCCCGCCCCCTCCCCTCCCTCGATCCCTTCCATACCCATAGCCCTCCTCCTCCCTCTGTTGCAGCACATGCCATGCAACGTGGCATCAAGTGTGGCCAGGTACCATGTAAAGGCATGCCGTGTCACATCGTATAACACCATTGACATACCATATCATCTCATGCCCGCACCACACATGAATCCATGCCACCACAACACCATGCAGCACACAACACCATGCAGCACAGGGCACCATGCAGCACACAACACCATGCAACACACAACACCATGCAGCACACAACACCATGCAGCACACAACACCATGCAGCACACAACACCATGCAGCACAGGCCAAACGCAAGAGACAAAGGCATGTGAGACGAAGGCATGTGAGAAGAGGGCAGAGGGAACAGCTGGTGGTGCTGCTGCAAGGCATGCAGCACGGGCCAAACGCAAGAGACAAAGGCATCTGAGAAGTAGGCAAGAGGTGGTGGTGCCGCTGCAAGGGTCGGATTGTCGTAGCACACACACGCAACGGAGGAGGCTGCGTGAGTGTGTGTTCTCATGCCACATCGCATGTGGTAGTGGTAACCACCTTCTCATGCCACACCGCTTGTGGCAGTGGTAACCATCTTCTCATGGCTGCCGAGAAAACTAGCAGCGTGCCTCTAGCAATCGCCATGGCACTCAATGCCACCCCCCTCTCTCCCCATGGCACTCAATGCCACCCCCTCTCCCCCCATGGCACTTAATGCCACCCCCCTCTCCCCCCAGGAAACAGTAATGATTGACTAAAGCAGGATGAGTGGTACAAGTAGCAACCCTAACAAAGGGTTGAACCCCATAGGGAGTAACCCACTACAGCCTAACATCACTAACATGATATAAACATGTTTTGACACACCCCCATAGGCAAAGTGGGGGACAACAAGGGGTCACAAGACCAGTCAAGAGAAGAAGCAAAGCAAAGCAAAGCTCAGGGTGGATCACAAGGTCACCACGCATTCTGAGCACAAGCAAGCGGCCACAAGGCTAGTTCACATGCAGAGTTTATAATAGCGAAGAGCAATACACTGATCACAACCTAGCAAGTGTAAGCATGCAGGTATACTCATATATATCAGTGTACAACAAGAGCAAGATCAAGAGACAAGCAAGTGAGGCAGAGTGGGCACAAGCCCAAGAGCAGTGCAGAAACGCTGATGATCACTAGACCCAAGGGCCTTGGTGAAAACATCAGCAGTGTTGGCCCGAGTGGCCACGTAAGCAAGACAAAGCTGACCACGCTGCTGCATCTCTCGCGTGAGGAAGTAACGGAGAGCAATGTGCTTCGTTCTGTGCTCCAGTCTCTGGTCCTGACACAAGGCGATCATGGCCTTGTTGTCGACGTACAAAACTGGAGGAGAGCAAGGCTGCTCACCCAAGTCGGTCAGCAGGTAGGTCAGCCACCGGAGCTCCTGTGCAGCCATAGCCCCAGCGTAGATCTCGGCCTCACAACTGGAACTAAGTACAGAGGAAGAGCGAGTGGACCTCCACAAGACAGAACCAGTGCCGATGCTGAAACTGTACCTCTGTGTCGACCGGTGAGTCGTCTGGTCGACAGCCCAAGAAGCGTCTGAGTGACCGGTGAGAAAAACTGGACCCCGTCCTCCAAGCACAAGCCCCATGCCCGATGTGCTGCACAAGTAACGCAATACCCTCTTCGCAGCATCCCAGTGCATCTTTCGATGCCTACCGGGAGCCACGTAGCGAGCCAGGAGGCTGAGAGGGTACGCGAGGTCAGGTCGTGTGCATGTCATCAGGTACATGAGGCAACCCACAAGCTCTGGGTATGGACCACTCGGCTCTACGGACTCGTCCGAAGGTGGAGCTGAGAGCGAGTGGCCGGTAGACAGAGGAGTGGGCTGTGGCGAGGACCACGTGAAGTCGAAGCTCTGAAGGACCTGCTGCATCATGTGTGGCTGAGTGAGGGTGATGGTGCGGCGTGCTCTGTCCCGGGTGATCTGCAAGCCAAGGTAGCTCCGCAGCTCACCCAGGTCAGTGCAAGTGTGTCTCTCCTGCAGCTCCGCCTTCACCAAGGCCAGAGCCTCAGTGTCAGCAGTAGCAAAAACCAAGTCGTCAACGTACACAAGAACGTAGAACGGCGGCAGAGAAGGGTCTGTGCGCAGAAACAACGAAGGGTCAGCAGTCGAGAGAGCGAAGCCAAGAGCCGCAAGCGTATTCCTCAGTGTGTCGTGCCACTCGCGGGGTGCCTGTCGGAGGCCGTAGACTGGTCGCTGAAGACTCCACTGGGTACCCTCAGGAAACGACCCAGTGAAGCCACGTGGACGACGCAACCAGATAGCCTCGTGAAGGCTACCCTGCAAGAAGGCTGTCGAGAAGTCGAGGGAGTGCAGCTCGTAGTCACGCTGTGCTAGAACGTGCAGTAGCATCCGAAGAGTGGTCATCTTCGGGGTGGGGGAGAAGGTCTGAAAGAAGTCGACCCCCGCACGCTGACTGAAGCCTCGAGCAACGTAACGCGCCTTGAAGACAGGCGGAGAACCCGGCGGCCGCTTCACCCTGAAAATCCACATGCCATCGACTATGTTCGCCCCAGGTGGGGGAACCTCGTCGACGTAGGTGCATGTGGACTTCCAGGAAGCCATCTCTGCGTCCATGGCTATCTGCCACTAAGAGGAGTACGGACCCGTAATCGCCTCTGCGTAATTGCGTGGGGTCGGGATGTCTGGTGCATCCGGGTCTCCCTCAGGGCAAAGTAGCAAGGACGCGAGATGCGGTGCAGCGGCCGCGAGAAACTCCAGCTCAAACTGCCTGTCCTCAAGAACGTCACAGCCAAGGGCAAGCTCACCCTCGACGGACGGAGGACAGGAAGAGTCAAAGACAAGACTCGCTGCGTAGTCAAGGCGGCACAAAGCGGCAAAGTCAACAAGCTCAGTGACTAAGGCAGACGCAGCAGCAGACTCAAAGGAAGGGTCAGTCACAACTGTGGCAAGGAGACGAGTGACAGTCGGACTGGCAGCACGAACAAGGTCTGACTCAGGGTCATGAACGTGAGGAAGAGAGGACACAGGAGGAGAAGGCAGGACAACACGCTGAGGAACAGAGGAAGGACGAAGTGCCATACGGTGAGTGCCTGGCACAGCGGGAGCACGAGGACGGACAACACGACGACCGCGAACAGGGGTGGAAGCACGAGTCTCAGGCTCACGACGCTCAGGACTGGACGCTCGAGTCTCGGGCTCACGACGCGCAGTCAGGGACGCAGTGACCTCAGTGTGAGGAGCAGGAGCAGGCAGCGGGGAGCCAGGCAGTAGCTGTGGCTGAGACTGGTTAGTCGGTGAGAACAGTAACGGAGGAGTAGTACCAGGAACCGGGAACTCAGTAGCAGCATGTGGGAGACTGAGAAGGCAACCAAGCGCAGACAGCTGCGGCTGAGTAGTCGCACCCCTAGAACCTCCCGCTCCAGTAGCAACAGCACCCCCAGAACCAGTGCCTCCGGCTCCAGTAGCAACAGCACCCCCAGCTCCAAGACGGCTAGCTCCACCACCAGGGCTGCCCCACTGGACAGCCCACTCGCGCAGCCGCTCCGGCGAGAGAGCCTCCTGCCGACTAGCACCACGATCTCCAGTACCTCCAACAGCACCTCCAGTAGTACCTCTAGTGTCAGCACCTCTAGCACCGCCAGTGGTACCTGCACCTCCAGCAGCGCCTGTACCTCCAGTACCAGGAACACCAGCACCAGCACCTCCAGGGCTAGCACCTCCAGAACCTGAACCTCCAGCACCTCCAGCAGCACCTGTGCCTCCAGTAGCAGGAACACCTGGACTAGCACCTCCAGGGCTAGCACCTCCAGAACCTGCAGCTCCAGTACGTCCAGCGCCACCACCAGGACTGCCCTAACGGACGGCCCACTCGCGAAGCCGCTCCAGCGAGAGAGACGCCTGGCGACGTGCACCAGGACTACCCGCAGCAGCACCCACAGTAGCAGCACCTCCAGTACCTCCAGCTCTAGGAGAGCGAGCACGGCTAGCTCCACCACCAAGGCTGCCCCACTGTACAGCCCACTCGCGAAGCCGCTCCGGCGACAGAGTCGCCCGCCGACGTGCAGCAGTGCCACCAGTACGAGCAACCACAGTACCACAAGTAGCAGAACCTCCAGCTCCAGCAGCTCCAGCACCTCCAGCTCCAAGACGGCTAGCTCCACCACCAGGGCTGCCCCACTGGACAGCCCACTCGCGCAGCCGCTCCGGCGAGAGAGCCTCCTGCCGACTCGTAGCAGGACCACCAGCACCAGTACCTCCTGTACCCAGACGACCCTCAGCACCCCCAGAACCAGCACCCCCTGTGGTACCACCTCCTGCAGCACCAGAGTCCACAACAGCAGGCTGCAGCGGCGGTGAAGATGGTCGAGGCGGAAACCCAGGAGGGACAGCCAAGCATGCAGAGCGGCGAGGGGTCACTGTGGCAGCAGGAGCCGGGTCACCCCCCTCAGGTGGGCCAGAGGTGTCTGAGGAGACCTCCAAAGGCTCAACCAAGGGGGGTGGGTCTACCTGAGATACACCTGAGGGAGCGGGACCGTGAGGAGGGAGGGGGGCTACCAGGGGGGGGTCGTCCACTAGGGTGAGAGGGGGGAGGGGTACCGGGGAACTGTGGTGGGGGTGAAGACGGTAGAAGCAGACGGACTCGTCAAAGGTCACGTCCTGGGAGGACAGCACACGACGAGAGCTCGGGTGGTAAAACTGCCAGGGCGGTGCGTCGGTGGGGAAGCCAAGGAACACGCACCGAAGAGTGCGTGGAGAGAGCTTGCCCGCAGGCAAGTCGCGGACAAGAGAGAGTGAACCCCAGACCCGAAACGCCGACGCATCACCAACCTCGCCCGTCCACCGCAAAGTGGGGGAGGTCTCCGGGTGGGAGACACGGGGCCAGAGGTTGAGCTGCTCAGCGGCGTATCGGACCGCAAACGGCCACAGAAAATGGGGGGCAGCCGTATGGATCATGGAGGTGCGAGCAACCTCCATGACAAGACCAATGCGGCGCTCTGCAATCCCATTCTGTAGTGGAGAGGCCGGAAGCGTGTACGTCTGGCGGATGCCCTCAGCACCACAGACGACCTCGAGGAGGTGGGAGCAAAACTCACCACCTCGGTCAGAGTGCAGCCGCAGGACAGGAAGGTCCTCACGGAACCGAGCGCGAAGCTGGAGACGAACAGCGCGGATCCAGCGGATCAAGACACCGCGGACATCCGCCTTGCTCTGCAAGGGGAAGACTGTGGTGTAGCGCGTGTAGTCGTCGACTACCAGCAAAAAGTAGCGCTCGCCACCCTGTCCTGTGACGCGGGCGGGGCCCCACACGTCCATGTGCAGGGTCTGCAAAGGAGCAGTGGTAGGAGGAAACGAGGAGGAGTGAGGAGCGGCGCGCTGCCGCCCCTCGACGCAGGGAAGGCAAGGCGGTGCAAGCGACCTCGGGAGCAGGGGCAGGGACCTGGGGAGACCGGACACAAGGAGACGAGAGTGCATGCCACGCAGGCGTGGCAAGGAGGGGTGGCCAAGACGGTGGTGCCAGAGGAGAGTCTGGTGCG